GGAGTCAAACACGCCACCTCTGCGGCAGTCAGGAGGCATATTGTCCGAGCTGCGTCCAATTCGCATCTCTCAGCACCCAAAATTAAAGAAATTTGCGGCGTTACAGCCAGTRTGTCTACAGTTAAACGTGTGATTTCGTCGGCTGATCATTTAAAACGAATGAAACTTAAAAAAAACACCGTTAAATGATGCACGTAAAGCTTTACGACTACTCTTTGCGCGCAAGTACATGAGCTGGACGAGCGAATGGCAGAAGGTCGTTTTTTCCGACGAAAAAAAATTTAATTTAGACGCCCCTGAGGGATACAACTATTATTATCACGATCTTCGAAAGGAAGAGCATTTCCTGAGCCGTCGCCATAGCTGTGAGGGAGGCGTAATGGTGTGGGGGTCGGTATCAGTCTTTGGCACTTGCGACCTTCAATTTGTTACTTCCAAAATGAACGCGGAAACGTACAAATCTATCATACAGACTGCATTTCCTCATTATTCCAATATTTTTCACATTATCAAATGGACTTACCAGCACGATAATGCTCCTATTCATACAGCTAGGGTGGTTAAAGAGTGGATTAAGGCTCAAAATGTGGACTTGCTCGAATGGCCCCCATATTCACCTGACCTTAATATAATGGAAAATGTATGGGGGTTGCTATCGCGCAAGGTATATGAAGGAGGCARGCAATTTGATTGCWAAAAAACTTTAGTTGCRGCAATTAAAACGGCCTGGACAACAATTTCGCTGCAAATACTGCAGAATTTGTATAGCTCGCTTCCCGATCGTTTATATGAAGTTATATCAAAAAACGGCGGATTTACTCATTATTAAACTTATTAAAAATTACTTTAGAAATGCACTTAAGTATAAGCAAAATGCCAAAAATATGTAAATTATCTTAAGTTACTTATATAATTTTAATTTTTTTAGGTTGAACCTATTCAGATGAACGAAAAAATATTGATTTTGTTAACCTTTCAGAAGAATAAATAAATAAGGAATAAATAATATGTTTTTGAAAAACCTTTTTCGCCATTTTATTTTAATATGATTTAAGAATTAAAGAAAAAAAATTATGTAAATCGGAAAACTGGTTTAGAAATTATAGATATATTCCTACCTCTGAGATCATGAACCTATTCAGTTGAGCGGCAGTGTATAATAACCAAAATTTTACCAATTTATAACGAAAACTCAATATATATATTTTTTATTTTTAACGCAGAAAGGAGTACAATGCGAAGGTACTTCAGTCACGCCGGGTATTCGCTCGACCAGGGTTATTTTTTTAGAGCGCTGCCGAAGGCCGCCAATGCAGAAAAGAGTACTACGCGACAGTACTTCAGTCATCCTGATATGATATAAATATTATAACATTATTATAGAGTTTTAGTTATTTGTGTTTCTGGCCGCCAACGCAGAAAGAAGTACTACTTCAAAGTACTTCAGTCACCCTGGGTATTCGCTCGACCAGGGTTATATTTTTAGAGCGCGGCCGAAGGCCACCAACGCAGAAAAGAGTACTACGCGAAAGTACTTCACATGTAGATGGAAAAAGTCTTCACGACTCAATTATAACTTGAAAAATGTTGGAAAGTATTTTTTATTGTAATTAATGTAGAACACGCAAAAAAACACAAAGAAAATTCGTTAAGAATCCTACATATTTGGTTGTTGTTATTGTTGTTGTTGCAACGGCAGAACCTACATATTTGGTGTTTGAGATGTGGCAACGCTCGTTTTCGTTCTAATTGTAAACAATCTAACCTTTGCAACGACTAGTGTACTAAGTGATTTGTAAATCGATAAATTTAGGTAAAACATTACAAAATAAAATTGAAATGTGCACTTATTTTAATGTTTAGAGTTTATATTTAAATATACAGAATGAAAAACGTGAATAAATTTAGTGAAAGATAGAGAAATACCATGTGTTATTAGTGCAAATTTTTGAACCTTTAATCGGGAATATTTTAAAAAATATAAGTCATTTTTATATTATTTTTCGATATTCCTCCTCTGGAGAAGCTCCCCTATCCAGCCGCACATACCCCATTTATACGGAAATTCGGTTTTTTTGTACCCCTCCGCGAAAGTAATCGGAATCGTGCTAGCCTGAGTTTGTATTTTTGTGAAACACTATTCAAAGTACTTGGCAGCATTACTTACATTTTTTACAATTATAAACATTGTAATATTGTATCGTAAAATAAAGATTTAAGTTTAGATAATTTATTCTTTTAGAAATGTACATAATTTCTTTAAACTTGCTTATTGTATTCAAACTCCAAACTTTGCAAAATAATTATATTTTTGAAAAATGGCTTAAGACGGTTCAATTTCCTGTGATAAAATCTTATTCACTCATAAAGTTCGTTTTGGTATTCAGTTGTCAAACTGTAACTAGCCTCATCCTATTATGGGGCGTAAAATCATGTTTCGTATGTTCGAAAAGCCGAAATTCTAATCAAATTCTGCGCAACTATTGAAAATCAGAATTGGTTTGCAATTCTGTTATCTAAGCAAATCTGTCCACATTCCACAACATCGGGGGTAAACTGCAGGGCCCTTTATACATCACACATATTTATTACCAAACGAAATAGCAGGAAGTTTTATTAAAATATATTCTGTATACGCGATATACACACAAGTAACGGTTTGAATTATAATACGTGGTAAAGTTTGAAGGTTAACATGTTGTAAAGGAAACAATATACATGATGTGATGATATATAATAAGCTAAGATTCGTGTTTTATCGGGCCAGGAGATCCCCTTTTGGCAATCTAATTCTATTTGGTGAATAAAATAGAAACACTAAGAGCAGGGTTATGAGGAGTACGTGTTGCCATCGAATATTTTCCCAGCGGTCTGTGCCTAAAGGCTAAGTTTTAAACAATGCGACATGCATCGGCACAGAATTTGCTGAAATTACCCTCACAACTATATTCCTTTCCACTTACGTAAACACTAGCGAGAGTAAATTTCCGTACTGTTGTACTGGAATTTAATCGTTTCAGTTTGATTCTTTTTATTTATCTCTTTAGGTTTGAGGGTTTACAAAAAAATCGTTAGGTGGAAAAAACTAGCAATATTCAGCAATGCAACGGAGTAGTCTAGTGTACCGCTAAAAGCGAAAATATTTGTAAAATTATAGCAGAAATATAAATATTCACAATTTTGACAGCTCTTGGTATGGTCAGCAAAAGTATGTTGTACAATCTGCTGAGTTATACGCGGCATACATTATAAATGTTTAACTTAAATGTGTTTGGTCTTATATTTTAGGTCTCGCGAGGTATAGATGCGGTCAAAATTGCGGTGGAGTCCTTAGATCTTATAACAATTGTTGTTCCACCAGCACTACCAGCCGCCATGACTGTGGGTCGTTTTTATGCACAAAAGCGCCTTAAGAAAAAAAATATATACTGTATATCTCCGCGATCCATTAATGTTGCTGGTAGTATTGATTGCTGTTGTTTCGACAAGGTAGTACGACAATAAAAAATACTACTTTGTGGAATTTTAATGTATGTTTAAATTTCATAGACGGGTACTCTTACGGAAGAAGGTTTAGATATGTGGGGTGTAGTTCCGAAAACTGTTACAAATGAGTTTCAAATGCCCATCAAACAGATTGAACGTTTACCTTATGGTAATTTTTTGTTTGGGATGGTAACATGTCATTCAATAACTATAGTGAATGGAAAACTGATGGGTGACCCACTGGACTTGAAGATGTTTGAGTCTACTGGTTGGACTTTAGAAGACCAAAAAAATGTGCCAGACTCTCAAAAGTATAGTCTAATTCATCCTACCATCGTAAGACAGCCTAGGAAAGGTAAATCACTATTGCATAATAAATACAATATAAGTTATTTAGTTCTTGTTTTAAGAAATTCTTCACGGGGAATCGAATATTGCGGAATCTTCAGTACAGCGTCAGTCTTCTATTGACGACTTATTGGCTGACGTTGGTTTACTTAATGGTGAAACAAACAATGATCATGGTATTGTTCGAGAGTTTCCATTCACTTCGAATTTACAGCGGATGTCCGTTATTACCCGCCGTCTAAGTGGCTCAAATTTCAACGTATATTGCAAAGGTTCTCCTGAGATGATGCAGCAGCTTTGCCAACCAAGCACTTTGCCAGAAAATTACTCACAACAATTAGCATTTTTTGCAAAACGCGGATATCGTGTTATCGCAATGGCTTTTAAAAAACTTAGTTCCAAAATGAGTTATATTAAGGCACAACGTTTGGCACGTGAAATAGTTGAAAGTGATCTTGAGTTTCTTGGTTTCGTTGTAATGGAAAATCGCCTAAAACCGGATACAAGTAAGGTGATCGCATCATTAACCAATGCCAACATTCGTACAGTTATGATAACCGGAGATAATCTCTTGACGGCGATAAGTGTAGCACGTGACTGTGGTATTGTTTCGTCGGACCAAGCGGTTGTCACTGTAAACGCACGAAAAGTGCTTCAGAAAGAGTCACATGCTTATGAACTTTACTACACACTTGATATAGGTGGTTGTGAAAATGTTACTAAAGATTTAGTAAACATATCGGATATAATATCATTGCAATCTTCGGGCGCTAATTCTATTGATGGAGTTTGCGAAACTGAGAATTACCAAATATTTAATGGTGACATCTCATCATTGAGTAGTTTATCAATGACACTACCAAACAGTAATAGCCTAACGAGTGTAGAGACTTGTGAAACATGGACACACCAAGATCCAGAATTAGGTGTTGCTAGCTGTAAACATGAGAAAAAATGTCATCGTCCTACCTGGCGGAACAATTACAGATTCGCAATGATTGGTAGAACATGGCAGATTGTACGAGAAAATTTCCCGAATGAATTGAAAAATTTTGTGGTACGTGGCGCAATTTTTGCGCGTATGTCACCGGACCAAAAGCAGGCTCTAATTATAGATCTTCAACAGCTTGACTACTGCGTTGCTATGTGTGGTGATGGTGCAAACGACTGTGGTGCCTTAAAAGTTGCACATACAGGTATATCGCTAAGCGAAACTGAGTCTGCAATTGCCTCACCATTTACATCGCGTAATGCAACAATTGATTGTGTGCCATATGTCATAAAGGAAGGAAGAGCTGCACTAGTTACATCATTTGGTATATTTAAATACATGGCTGCTTATTCTATGGTGCAATTTATATCAGTTATGATATTATACTCCATTGACTCCAACTTAACGGATAAGCAGTATTTATATGTTGATTTAGGATTAATATCTGTGTTCGCATTCTTTTTTGGCAAAACGGGCGCATACGTTGGACCACTCGCTAAACAAGTTCCTTTAAACTCGCTTATCTCCTTAGCTCCATTAGCATCAATAATATTGCATTTACTTGTCGTAGTTGGATTCCAAATGGCTGGTAAGTTCAGAAATAATATGATTTTTATTAAATTAGTACTAGTTTTGCGATATTATTAATGAAGGGATGTGTATTATTAAATGCAAACGAGCTTAAGGGTTATTTGCTCATGGCTCTACATATAGTTCTGCTTTCGTTCTTTTAAATTAAAGAAACATTAAATTAAGTTAATTACATTTTTAATTCTAATGTTGTTATTTAAGATTAGATTAATGCGTTTGGGATTGGAAATTAAAAAATATATTTTTTATTTAAATAGTTAAAATTGAAACTTAAATTTTCAATCCCAAAATCAGAACGAAATATGAATAAAATTTAAATCGCTTGAATGTGTAAGTTTGCTGACCAGTGTTCAACAAAAAATATTAAATTAAAAAATGTATTTGCTTTTTTTTTTTTTTTAAACGGGGTTAGATCGCCGAAATGACAGCCCATGGTCGGATGAAATCCGAGTCAATTCCGGTACGTAGAACCGGCTGTCGTGGGAATTGAAATGAAATTGAAAACTTGATTTGTTAAGTCAAATGTATTTGCTCAAATAATATGCTTGAAATTATCTGGAACTTGGAATAAAAAATCAAGAATAAATGTTTATTCCGATTTATTTGATTTAACTCCGTTTGTTAATGCCGTGTTGGGAATTTTTTTCTCTTCGGAATTTGAAATATATATATTTTTAAATTATTAATCCCATATTTGGGGTTACACAATTAAACAAATTTAATTCATGTGTTAATTCAACTATTTTTCCTGCATTATTGGTAAAAGTGTTTCTGTTCGTAACAGAGTTCTTTTCGATGGTTTGTACTTTTTACACATGTTTAGTAAATAACGTTTTAGATCTGCAATATTGTTATAAGTGCTTTATTCTTCTTATGTAATTAAACGAAGCTTGCGGAATATTATTTACCCATAGGGGAACCTTATGATGAGCACAATGTAAGAATAGGATAAATGTTTTCTGTCAGCAAAGGCTTGTATTTGGCTTCATAAACTTGTCTTATTTAATTTTCAAACAAAATTTTATTGTAAAACAAAATGTCTTTTTTATTTATAGGTTGGTATCAGTTGCATCAACAAGACTGGTTTGTTGCTTTCAAACACAGTGATGAAGATCACTTAGGATGCTACGAAAACTACACTATGTTTGCCATATCCAGTTTTCAGTATATTATACTTGCATTTATATTTTCAAAGGGAGCGCCATATCGAAAACCAATTTGGTCGAATGTTCCTTTCTGTTTTTCATTGGTTACAAATCTTGCAATTGTTTGTTATTTAGTATGTTATCCTTCGCAATGGATAAGAGACTTTTTCCAACTTGTTGTACCTAACAATTTCCGCTTTCGATTTTGGATGTTGTTTTATGGAGCTGCCAACTTTTTAGTACATGTCATTGTTGAGATATACGTCGTTGATTATTTACTCTTTCAAAAAGTGCAACTGAACCGCGAAAGAAATATGAAAAAATCGCAACGAAAATATATGCACGTCGAATATGATTTGCGATGTTGCAAAACATGGCCGTCAATAACACAGTCATGTCAGGCATTCGATTCTTCAACTCTACTTACAGAAATTAAACCAACGTATGTTGAAATAAGAGCTGAACAAAACTTCGACACGCCAGCATCACAAAATAATGCATTAAATAGTTTCTTCGAAGCGGAATCAATCCAAGCTATTCAAACCTTGCCAACGGTAGCCGAATGTAGCCTACTTAGTGAGTCGGAACCAACCAAGTTGCTGTTGAGGGATAAGCAAATGAGAGGTAGTGATGCTAATGTAATCCAAATTTCATGAGATTTAAATGTTGTCACTGCAATAACTTTAAGTTTACTTTTTATTTTAAACTTTAGTTACTTGCGTATAGTGAGGTATTTATTTTGTAGATTAATTGTTAGCTGTGTTAGTTTTAATGTTTCAATTATATTCACATCTAATTCGTATATAATAAATATGGGTTGGTTTAGTAAGATAAAACTGAAGTATATTTTTGCTAACGAATCAAACAAATTAATCGTGATAACCTATTATGATGATTGAAAGGTCTGAAACAAAACTACATACAGAAAATGGGTGCCACATGAGTTGAATGAAAGACAAGTCGAAAACCGAAAAATCACTTGTGAAATTTTTTAATACGACAATTCACCTGCACACAAAGCTAAACCGGTACTGGATTCAATCATATTATTTAGTTGGGAGCTGTTACTCCACCTAAAGTATTCACCAGAATCGGGTACTTCCGATTACTATTAATTTTCATCGATGAAACACGCAATGGCTGATCAGCACTTTTGTTCGTCCCGGGCAGTAAAATATTGGTTGGTTTATTGTTTTACTTCAACAGACGAACATTTCTGTTAGTATGGTATCCACAAATTGCCCGAAAGGGGCAATGTGTAAAAAGGGCCATCGGCTGCAATATTGAGGTCCAGTTTGTAATCCTTTGTCCAGTTTGTAAATATGGTCGCTGTGGATTAAGTGGGGTACAGTATTAAGTTCCGTGCAGGGAGCAAACGAGAAAGGTCGTAGAGATAGCCGTTTACGTTTGAGCACATGCCATCGATCCCATTGCCCGACCTCATCATCGTACCAGCATCAGCGTACGAGGTGATAGAAATTTCCCATGGCCGACGGGGTTATGCTCGAAAATTCTACGAAGAAATGCGGCGGCTAACAGAAGGTTCTAAGCATACTCCTTGCAGAACCCGCAGAGGTGATGCCCAGATCATACTAAAATTATGGGGGGAACACTTCTCCATCCTGCTGAATGGCAGTGAAAGTATAACGCCAGGAGAAGGCGAACTCGATTCCCCAATCGATGACGATGAAACAGACGTTCCATTGTCCGACCATGAAGATGTTCGAATAGCAATTACCCGCCTGAAGGACAAGAAAGCGGCGGGGTCCGATGGATTGTCGGCGCAGCTATGCAGACCGGCGATGATGAACTGATAAGGAGCTTGCATCTGCTTCTTTGTAGAATAAGGTCGGATGAAAGCATGCCGGGCGATTGGAATTTAAGTTTGCTTTTCTCAAAACCCATCGCGTATCAGATTCCACTGGGCGTATTGTGTGAAAGATTAAACCCCTACGACGCACACCACCTCTTCGTCGATTTCAAAGCTGCTTTCGACAGCACGAAAAGGAGCTGCCTTTATGCCGCGATGTCTGAATTTCGTATCCCCGCAAAACTAATACGGCTGTGTAAACTGACGTTGAGCAACACCAAAAGCCTCGTCAGGGTCACGAAGGACCTCTCCAAACCGTTCGATACCAAACGAGGTTTCGGACAAGGCGACTCCCTTTCGTGCAAATTCTTCAATCTGCTTCTGGAGAAAATAATTCGAGCTGCAGAACTTAATCGAGCAGGTACAATCTCTCATAAGAGTGTACAGCTTGCCGTTAGTTCTACTTTCTCCAGACTGGACAAGCAGGCAAAACAAATGGGTCTGGCAGTGAATGAGAGCAAGACGGAATATCTCCTGTCGTCAATCGAGCAGTCGTCGCACTCGCGACTTGGCACTCACGTCACAGTTGAAAGTCATAACTCGTCCGCTTATGTTGGTTTACCATTTGCCGAATTTCCAAATTGTCATCCCTCATTCGGGGAGGGAAGCAGCTGCTTCGGCCGGCAAATTAGGACGGAGTTCTAGTACTTTTCCAGCTGGGATAAAGCAAGTGGTAACTGCTACGATCACGTTGCGGCAGTGACGCTCGCCAACGATTACATACGTAGATGAGTAAAGCAGTGAAGGTGTTATCGGTAAATTCTGTGAAGCCGATAAAACTAGTTTTGTTAATATTAACGAAGGTACGGTTGTTCACAGAAGCAAAATACCCGGCTGATGAATGCGGCTATCTCTACGATTTTGCTGCAGTTAAATTGTTAAATCCGAGTTGATTGATTGATAAATTGATTGAAGGATGAGGAATCCCCCGCGACCTTTAGCCTATTGAGCCCTCTTCTGAATTCACATAGACTCACTTAGCCCCAGCGCTTTGATGAAGTCTAATAGAGTAACGGGTGCTAGTGAGGTGATGCGATCCCTAACTGGAAACATGGGTTCAAGGGCTTTAATCCTGAGTCTGCAGACTGCTTTGCAGTCGACCATTAGGTGCTCCGGGGTTTCAGGCTCCCTATCGCAGAACCGGCAGTCAGCGCAAGAGGGTAGGCGCATGATTTGCAGATGCCTATTTAGCTTGCAGTGGCCAGTATACCATGCGTCCAGTAGCCTGAATTTGTTTCTGGGGAGGTTTATTAAAACTTTGAACCTCCTCAAGTTGTATCTTCCATTTAGCTACTGGGCATGTCTCATACCGCGTGTTTGTTGCCAATGCTCTTCCCTGCCAACTCCTTGCGGAGTAGCTCCTTTATGGTGTGGGGACCTACCGCAGTGAACGGTTCGAGTCCTACCATCTTGGTGGAGGCTGCAGACCGGGCGAGCTAGTTCGCCAGTTCGTTACCGGCTATACCTCTGTAACCAGGTACCCAAATTAGATGTACCTGGTTACTTTCCGCAAGGCTGTTTGGCCTTTCTCTGCACTCCTGCAATAGTAGCGATTTGAAAAAAAGAGGAGATCGCTTTTTAGCGCCGCTTGACTATCGCTGAGAATGGCTATTCGCTCATTACGATAATTGCGATGAAGGTTTATTACTATACACCGACATATGGCAAAACTCTCTGCCTGGAAAATGCTCGGGAACTCTCCCATGGGTATGGAAAGCTTAGTGCGTGGACCCACGATCTCTGGGCTGATTCCCTCCGGCATTTCCGAGCCATCAGTGTACCAGCTGAACGTGCTATTCCTCAACATCAGCTCGAGATTAGAGTCGTGATAACACACCTTCCTGTGGACAGCCTCTTGTTGTGCCGAGACGAATCCTTTTATCACCTATTTTTTGATTGGCCTGAAAGATTTCGCCAATGAGTAATTTTTCCTTCCTACCTTGGGTATGAAGATGACCTTCTCTGTCCTCCATACTTCGGCGATATACGCCATTGCGAGGCTTTCTCTCAGCAGCCGAACCAGGTGAGGCACTCCCGGAGGCTTGAATCTCTCAAACGAGGCCATTGTCCACCTGGTCCAGTCCGCCGTGAATAGCTGCTTGGCGATTCCCCAATCCTCGCGCCCGCAGGGGCTCCGGGCTCTGTCCTCTGTACTGGTCGTAAATGTCCCATCACCTCTTTTAATTGCTATTTCGGCGTCAGTTGTGCCTCTGGCCAGAGCTTTATGCAACCGAGCCGAGAGGTGACATTCTCGCAGAATTTGCTGAAGCTTGCCTGCTTTGCAGACCTTGGGGGTTACTCTGTAAGGCGTTACGAATAGCAATGCGTTGCGAAAGTGAATTGCGTTGAGAAGGGCAATCGGTACTCTGTAACACTTTTGCATTGTAAACAGTTTGCACTGTTTTCCCGTTGACATATCTCCAGTATAGTTGACATTACTGACCAAAACGAAGGAGAATTAAAACAAAATATTTTAACAGAAAAGTGAAGAAGTAAAGAAAATTGACAGACAAACATAATTAAATTTGAATAGTTTTATATATAAAAGTAATTTTAAATCAATAAAAAAGGTGTGAATATGGATTCCGTTGTGTTATGGGAGGAAAACACAAAAATTAACTAGTTTAGCGGAAAATTATTAGAGACAAGTCTTATGTGATGAGTCTTAGTGAGAAAAGGTAAGTTTAATTGATAAAGTGTAATGCGATTCATTAAACTTGCTTGTGCTTGTACTCGTAAATAGTTTCTTGCAAAACTTTCGCTTAAGCACGGAATAATTCAAATATGTTTTGGATAGCATAAGTAGTGAGCTAAAAACTCCACGCAGGTCCACAGGAATACCCGAAATTGGCGCAGGAAGGGTATCAACAGCAAATTGGACAAGATCACCATATAGGACTAGGTCAACAAACTGTTTCGCGTTGTGTGTTTGAAGTTTGTAAAGCAATTGAGAAAGTGCTGTGTTCAAAACACATAACTTTGGCAATGCCTTCAGAGGTGAAAAATGGAGCGAAACGAGCTTTTTACTCAGTGTCTGGAATTCCAGGAGTAATTGGAGTGGTGGATGGTACCCACATCCAAATGATACGACCGGAAGTTAATGAGCATTTATATTTCAATAGAAAATTAAAGCATAACATAAACGCTATGGTGGTAAGGCAATTGTTTTTAATTTATCTTTGTTTTTTTTTATAAATATTGTTTCCAAGACCTAGACATGTGATCATAAGATGAAGATAAAAGCCGTTTACGGCCAGTTTGCTGACTGTAATATAATAAAAAAAAAATAATTATCAGTAAGTATTTAAAAAATAAGTAACAGACTCAATGTCAATAACTAAAATACAACATTTTTATTGGTCGGGCCGTTCAATTTCTAGCATTTGCTTTTTTTAGTTGTAATGTTGCAAATTTTAGTTTTGTTTTGTCCAAATCAATCCTTTTTTTGTTTTCGAATCTTTCAACAGCCAATTAATATTTTCTCTTACCCATTTTATGTTTTTTTTCATACATTTTGGAATCATCTTTAAGTTTTCATTAATTTTAGACAACACTTTTAATGAACCTTTGTGATAAGCGATTTGGTTATCCACCTGCTTATTTAAAAGACTCTCTTTTTTTTGCGGAGTGACTCTTTGACGTGAACAATGTGGCATTTCATTCACTGGCGTTGGTTCATTCTGTCGGAATTCGTTGGTTGTGATGTCTGACCCACTTCGTTGCGTTAACTGTCCTGCGCCAAATTCTAAGGTGCCGCTTATTCCACTGACGGATATTTCCATTGCCAGAAGCTCACTAACCTGCTCCTCCAACGGTGTGAAGGAGCAATGACTTGGAGGAAAACCACCAGCTCCAGAGATACTTATTTTGTTCCGCCGCATTTTTGCTTTCAAATGGGTTTTATAATCCGACCAAACCATTAAATACTTAAGTAATATGTGCTACAAAAATTATTTATAA